TACTCTTTGACTCTCCCATCTTCTGGACTCTTCAGGCTCTTAGGGCAGACTTGTATCCAACGCCCTTTCTCTTGGAAGCAAACGCAGGTTGGTTCTCCTAGAATGTCCTCGGAAGCATGGTTGGTTGACTCTCCCAACAAATATGTTCCATTGCTTTGCCAAACCATTTCTGATTTAGCAGCAATGAGCACGTAAGTTAGGTCAATGAGGTTTGCGTCATGATCCATTATATAATGCTTTCTTTTGAACTCATTATATGATTCAGGGAGTGACTGTAGAACCCAGCCTATAGCCAACTCATCAGGGAATGATGCACCCAACATTTTCAACCTATCAATGTGTGATTTCATTCCTAGAATGTGGGCACACACGGGGTTACCATCTTTATGTTTCATTTCCAATAGGGCTTTAGTGACATTGAACCTCTCAATTCTTCGATCTTGTGGGTAGGGAGAACAACGGGAGGAGGAGGGGGAAGTGAAGCATGATTTCTTGTTCCTCGATCGAATCGTGGAATATCATCTTCATGTGGAAAGCTTGTTCCACAGGATTTGGGAAGACCATAGTTGTCGAACTTTGACATCTACAAAATGGGAGAAAACATAAATTCAAGTTAGTTGATAGATAGAGTCGTTAAGAAATCACCCAAATGAGATATTAAGGCTAGAACCCAACACAATACGCTACAACCTAGAAAAGGGATGTCGTAATCTAGTTGCAGAATATTTGAAGGTAAGTGAATGACGATTCACTAATTTTCCACCATGAAAAACGAAAACGAAATTTAAGTATTAAATCTATGAAAACTCCTAGATCCTTTGAGATTCATTGAATTTTTCAATGGCATGTTTAAATCTCGATATGCCCCTCTAGTTTGTGACTGGGATACCGATGATCACAAAACGGGTGTGAATAACCATGCAAACTTACATGGTGCCCTCACATGTTACGGTCACCTATTCGATGTGTCGGTAAACTACACACGCTCCACCGAACTATGACAAACATTGAGTCACCCTTTGCTACCTTTGCTTAGAACCATTTAGTGTGCCGGTAAACCACACACGCTCCACTAACGTCTTCGCAAGGGCACAAAGTGTAATTTCATGGAATTGCATCAATTCACTTTTGCCTAAAGTAACTAAGATTGGGGATTTGTAGAAAAACATTTAGTTACTTTTGTACTTCATTATGCTTATAATGGAAGGTTTTTGTCCTATCCTACCTGTTCGGCTAACAACCCTCCACTAGTCAAGAGTGCGGTGGGTAAAAGTGGATACCTATTCAATCGCCATTTTATAGGCAATTTCCTTAAACACCCCTTATAGACCAGCTTCGTGAATGAGGCCTACTAACGGTAAGACTGACTTTTACTCATACATATATAATGTTAGACTTTTAATGTTATATATAGTATATGGTGTATTTTACACTTTTAAAATACTAGGTGGTCAAATTTAATAATTATACTTTTAATTCAATTAAATTGTAAACCAAAACTTAATGGATTTATTAAACCTCTTTTAATTATACATCTTAATTAATTAATAAAACCATAAGGGTGTGATTTGAACTTTTCAAAACAATTACTAGAGTTCTATAATTTAACATTTCTAAATTAAACTTTTAATCAACTTTTAAAGTCCAAAACTTGAGGGTAAGTTTTGAAACATTTCAAAACATTAGGGTTTTAACTATTTAAATTTCAAAACCAAAACTTTTAAGTTCTAATTTAAACTATAAAACTTACATGGGCATAATTGAAACTCTTTCATAATACAAGGATCAAATAACAAATAATATAAATTAAACAATTAATTTCATCATTATCTATATTTGACCTAATTTTAATTTCTTGCAAAATAAGTTACCCAATTAATACAAATAATCAAACTTTATCAAATAAGGAAGCTATTATCTAATCAATTGGTAATTATCTTTTGTTTAATCAAGGATATACTCACAAATATGATAAAAATTGGATTTTAAAGAGCTAAAAAAGATAAGGAAAGTATTTATTACTAAAACAACAAGAAATCCCGAAATCCCCTCTTTCTGACGCTCGAACTTGCCGAGTACCACACTGTACTCGCCGAGTACACTGTGGTACTCGTCGAGTTCATCAGGCAGGGAGCTCAAAACTCAATTTTGAAACTTGAACAAACATACAAGGCATCAATACAATAGAAACCAATCAAGGCTCTGATACCAATGATGGATTTTAGCCATAAGAACATCATATGTGCTCATACAAACCCTAATGCTTGGATCTAGGTTTCTCTATTGTACATGCAATTTATCCAAGACTATAAACCCTAATTCTAGCATATGATAATCGATATTAACATAATAATGGGTTTAAGATATTACCTTGATTGTTATGTAGCAATAACAATCCCAAATCCTTCTTGTAATGACTTTAGAAAGCTTAGAGTCACAAATGTCACTCCTCTAATGGTTCACAAACACCAAGAGCAAGAGGATGAAGAGGAGAAGAGAAGTAGGCTGCCCTAAACGTGTGGAAACCCTAGAGAACAAGTTCACCACGTTTTTGGGGCATAAGGGTTCTTTAAATAATGAAGCTATTAGGGTTATCAAACAAGGAAACCCTAATTTGGATGCTTAAGCCCTAAGCAACCCATGGACTCCTTCCTTAAAGGCCTTAGGACGATTTCTAATGGGTTTCCCCATAGAATTCATCCACCCCTTTAATATGAAGTCCACTAGCTCAATATTAAACTATCATACAATTGACAGTTCTAGTCCCTTAAGTTTAATTAATCTCTTTTAGCCACAAACTTAATTCTTATTAATTCTTGACTAATATTAATTAAACAATCTGATTTCTCCTTTAATATATTATTCACATAATATATTAATAAATCATATTTAATCCTTTCTCTCCATAATTCATCCTATCAAGTTGCTTTGGTGAAGGCAACCTAAAAGGACCTTGCACCATCAGGTCAACTACATACCAATATAGTTATGGACATAGACACTAATCCAACAGTTCCTTGCTTGATTATTCTTCTATTCTCTTCAAATTATGTACTAAGATACTCAAGGATTAGCTCTATATCTCACTTAGCTCACTACAATCGATTATGGTTTCACACAGGGGAGTTAGGTAGTCGGTGAGGCGGGAATGAGGACATAAGTTCCTTTATATATGCCCAACCCCAAAGATTTAGGGTTTCATCTCACAACACCAACTTGGCAAGTCGGCTCTCTGACTCATCGAGTTGGTTATTAAACCCAAGTGGCCAATTCAACTCTACTCGACGAGTTGAGGCACTAACTCGTTGAGTCCCCCAGTCAACTCATAAAGCCCAATGTACTAGGTGGCCTCCGCGATCCTTCCATGCACATGAGTATGCCGAGCGTACACATAATTACGCCCCGCGTACTCAATTGTCACACATTTTATAATGAGGACTTAACTTGCCAAAACTTCAATCTATTATAGCTTCTTCGTTAAAAGTCTGTTTCTAACGAAGCTGATACACCCAGAAAGGTGGTGAGAAGCCCTACACTTCTAGCAACACATCACAGCCTCAAAGTTACACGAATAAAACTCAAAATTCATAAAAGATCTATCAGGATGTTACAACAGTTCAACACATTAGCACATCAATTCGTACGATCCAATTCCATGTGATGGACTCATTAGGTATGTGCTACTTATTGACCAACATCACCATTTGCCATTTTTATATTATGAAAGTTGTCGGAAAAAAAAAATTGCCATTTTTTTATTTGGTTTCTACCATTTACACTTTGCAGTAAAGAAAATAAAATATATAAATTGCATTCCTTTTGTTGAATATTTATGGTGTTACAAGTTGGTATCAGAGCCTTGGTTTGAGGGATTCAAATGCACCTTCAGGTAAGTCTGGACTCAAACTAAGGATTTGAGAAAAGTTTTCAAAAAGAAAAGATTTTTCTATAACGAGTAACAGTTTCTAAGAGAAAAACAAGAAAGAGTAGTGTGCACAATTAGCCAGAGCCCGAACGGTGATTTCCCAAAATACCTAAAATTGTTTACTTTATGAGATATTATTTATGCATGCTAGAGGATAGGCTAGGTACTTCATGTTAGGGCTAGAGATGTCTGATTTGTGATGCCTTAGCCTAGATGAACATTTGAGGAGTCTACTGAGAGGAGTAATTAGATACCATGAGAGGTGAGACAACCTGAGTTCAGTGATGCCTTTGAGTTGTGAGCAGAGCAAGTGGAGTTGTGTGCTCGAGTGATGTGTTAATATTGGTGGAGGTTATCCCGAATGCTGCTTGCTTTGTGATTTGTGAAACTCTTCATAATGGAATTCAGCTACCGAGTGAATTTGACGATATTCAGGAGGTAAATGGCTGACATTATAAGGACTTCTTCAGAAGTTGATGGCAGAAAAGTGTGAGAACCTAGGAAGAGCCTAAGGAGTGTCTGTAGTCAGAAGAATATGATGATAGATGAGATTATTTGCTGGGAAGCGACGAAGTATTATCGAGATTGGTGATCAAGAATGGTTGAGTAGCTACTTAGGAAATCTGGGACGATCAGTGTGGAAAGTATGGGTAGATGTGGTAGGTAGTATGGGCCCGCACTACTGAAAGCAGAGGACCCATACTCAAAACAGGGAGAGTTCCAAAGGTTCTAAGTAGAAGATTGAGAGGAGATAACATTGTTCGGGTACCATGATTCATGGCAGATCAAGAGGTGATCACATGGTTCGAGTACCATGATTCGTGGCGGTTAGTGTTTTTGGTTTTACCATTTATTCTATTGAGATTGATTAAACTAAGATCAAATGTAACAGAGTGTGGGGCCAGAGGGCCATATGGAATGAGTTTCAATGGAGCATACCTTGAGAGGGAAATCGAGTTAGTTTCCGAGAGATTTTTGGTGAGATGCCAGTTGGAGTTGCAAGACTCAAGGAGGAGTAGAGATGCTGCCTTATGGAGGATTGTAGTCTGAGTTGAGTGATCGACTGATAGAGGAGATGTCACTTTCTATGACCAGGGTTGTGCTATATTTGGTGAGAAGCAGAAGCGATATTGAGCTTCTAGTTTCTAAGCTTGCAGGTAAACCCTGTGGGGTAGTGTTGGTTGCGATCTTTCACCAGAGTATCGAGGCAGTATGTCTTCCGCAAGGTAATATTATTGCATGGGAGGGTCATCAGTGAAAACTAAGATGGTCAAGGACAAGGATATACCCTATTAGAGTATTGTAGGGCATATGTGTCACACCCCCAAACCGGAACGACGGAAACGTTCCGGGGCGGAGGACGTCATGTTTGGTATCACAACACATGTATCATAGCAATCATAGTAACAAACAACCATTGTATTAATAGTAAAGTGTTTACAAGTAGTGATTCAAAAAATACTGAATCCAAAAGTAAATAACAAAATGAGACATGAAACTACTATACTTCATCCTCCGAATCCCAGCAAGCGTACCTGTCTACTAGTTTCCTAAGAATACAAGTTATTTTGAAAGAGTAGATAAGCATTTAAGCTGATGAGTTCATAATATTTTAATGATGTAAAGTAAGTTAAAAGTTCTTTTAGAAAAGTTTGCAGATTCCTACAGAAGATCCTATATCTTCTGATATGATGAAAGTTTAGTAAAAATGACTCTACAATCCTTTCTATGAGTACTAATGGATACAAGTTATATAAATCCCAGAGTAAAGAAAAAATCAGTTGTGTAAATTTGGCCTAGCCCACAACCAAACAAGAAACAACAAATGAGGCAAAAGTCACACATCCCATAGTTTATTAGATCTTCGATGTATATAACCCTGGCGTATTCATCTGGTACTCACGAAGTTAATTGTAATAGTTCATTTATATTTGATGAAAACATTCTTTAAAAAAAGCCTTATATCTTTTAGTAAAAATGGTAACCGTAATGGGTCCTTCTATAATAACTTAGTTTATAACAGATATATATGATCTAATATCGAACAAATAGTTAATTGTGTGAATCTGCCCTAAGCCCACAACCCAACAACGACCAGGAAGTAAGTTGGAACACACACATCTAACTCCCTATCAGATATTAATTATGTATAACCCTGATGTATAAACTAAGGTATTATAGAGTTAACCATTAAAGATACTTTAAGTTATACTGGTTCAACAAAAAGGATTAAACCCTTTTTCTGATAAGTTTCTAGTTTAGTCTACTTCATGTTCTATCTGAAAAGTATGCTTTGTACTAGAAAACAGTGTATTAAATATGTATACTACGACATGACCCATACCTGGTAATCCTCATGATTACTTGGTGTATACAGAATATATATATATATATATATATATATATATATATATATATATATATATATATATATATATATATAACTGAAGTCAGAAAGATAGGAGAGTAGGTGCATCTGCTCCAAGTCCACAACCAAACAAAGAACAGGAAATGAAGCGGAAAAAACACACTCTACTGTCAATCGGACCTGATCAATATAAATCCCTGATGTATGCACTAAGGAATCAAGAAACATGGGTTGAAGTAGATGTGCCTAATGAATTCCAGGGAACTGTGGATTCCCTTTTTAGCTTGGAATCTTTAGGAGTTGGTGATTCCGATGATAAAAGCTACAATGAACATGTTGTTGATGGAATTATGGATACCACTGGACAGCTGGAATTTATTAATAGAATGAAGTTGATTATAACTTTTTATTTATTTGAAGAATGGTTTAATTTATGTGTTTTAGGTTAATAATGTTAAAGCAAAGAATGAGCATGGAAAATTTGGTACTCATTTGATCTCATTTAGAGGTGTTGGGTACCACATGGTAAACTGGTTAGTAATCATGTAAACTAATGTTTTTCAAGAATGCTAATTTATTTATGTATTTGGTGTAAAATATAATTATAATAATTGATATATATATATATATATATATATATATATATATATATATATATATATATATATATATATATTATTTTTGTTGTGTGTTTCTTTAGTGGGTTAATCCTGTTGATGATGTTATCAGAGTACATTGATATGAATGTTGTTTTGCCAGCACTTTCATCTAAAATCTATTTTTTTTGTTGTTATGGGCCTCAAATCCATAGAAGATAGCATGTATCTTCTAAGTGCAGGTTTTTTCTTTTCAAAATTGGTTAAATGCAAGAATAGCATTGATATGTAAATGCCCTCCTTATCCTTGTCATCAGAAATATCCCTATAATTATAAAGCTTCCCATGTAACAAACGCAACCTTAAGTTTCTTGAAGAGTAGTCAATTTGAGTATATTTTTTCATTTGTAAATATGTTTTCTGTCTGGATGCTTTTATAGGCATTTGATGTTTGGTCAGAGAAGGGTAGTATGACACTTCAAGGACACTATGAGTATGTAAATTGTTGTTGCTATAATGCCCATGATCAGGTATTTCTCTCTCTTTCTCTCCTCTCTCTGACTATTATGTGGATGCCATGTCAGCAGGCAAGATTGTCTATTGAAAAGTAGCACGAGATTATCTATTCAAGTATTTGTTTATAGAATGTTATGTTTGTTTTGTTGCTCGTGTAAATCGAAATACTTTTCATTCAACTAGTAAGCAATGAAAAAGAAAGGCTAAGTATTTTAGATGTGATTTTTTATTTATTAAAATGTTAATCTGTGTGGTCTCTTTACAGGAACTATTTATTAAAATGTTAATCTGTGTGATTTTCTATTTATTAAAATATTAAAATCATCACAAAAATGTATGTGTTGAAAAATCATCACAAAAACGTTGTTCTCATTAAACATACTTGTCCATGTAGTTCTATTGGATAAGAAACTTGATGAGGTTCCCATGGTGAGTGTAATTTGGTGTTTTGCAAGTTTGTGTCACCACAACAACTGATTTCTCATGTTTGCTATGATACTATTCTTCTTATGCATCTTGTAGAATCTGTGCTAAGTAAGGTCATGGAAGAGTTTGAGAATCGCATCACTAGTCAAGTTGAACTGGTAAAGCTTCTTAGCTATGTTGTTTCCTAATTTCCTTGCTTGGTGTTTCAAGTACAAATATAATTACTGCAAAGTTGTCTTACAATCAATCATACTTCCTTGACATTTTGTATATTCTTGATCACTAGAAACTTGCAGTTGCTAAAGATACCTTTAAAGGAAACATGACTTATTGGTAGATCATTTTGATTCCACTCTCATACATACCATGTGTATTATTAATTATTTGATATTGATATTGTACAACTGACATATATGTTTATTGTGTAGGATTTCCGTGTTGTTTTTGATCAAGAGTTGGGATTGATATTAAAGCTAAGAGACATGATGATTGGTTGGATACATGACAGGGTTTCAGAGCTTCTTTAGATCGCTTGATGATGAGTTACTGAAACAATAAGGTGCCCCTTTATAGCATTGTAGCATTAGGTTATATAGTTAGGGGAAACCTCTTATTTATGGTATTTTATTTGTATGACATTAAATTTTATGCAATGGATTGTATTTTTTGTATATGATATTTATTTTCTATTATGAGACATTAAATACAAATTTAATTTGAAAATTAGTAAATCCATAAATAATTTTTTTTAAACATTTAAAATTATGATACGCAAAAATGTGTGTCATCTTCATTTATGACATGGCCTTTCTTGATTGGGGCTTTCTTGATACGCATTGTGTGTCATCAACACGCGCATCGTAAGGTTCCAACACGCGAATGCGTGTCATCTTCCTTTATAACAGCGCCTTCCCTGATACGCATTACGTGTCGTAAACGCGTGTCGTAATTGCACGTCGTAAATGCGCATCGTCTATAGAAGACGCACAAAAGCGCATCGTCTCTCTTTATGACAGTGCCTTCCTTGACGCGCATTTGCGCGTCGTCTGAGCCTTTTACGACGAGCAATGAGCGTCGTAAAAGGCTGTTTTTCTAGTAGTGTACCAGACATTTGCTGAGCTCCAGGAAAATGCCCAGAAGAGGGAGATCGAATTGGAGACTCAGGCCAGGGAGGAGGCCGAGTCACAGAGGATGGATCGGCATCCATCTCAGTCTCAGCCGACAGCCAAGCGGGCTAAGCCCGGTGATTTGAGATCTGGGGGTGCGAAGGCCCGCACTTGTGGGAAGTGCGACAAGAGTCACGAGGGGTCGTGCCGGGCAGGAGTATGCTACAAGTGCGGGAAGGAGGGGCACATCGCGAGGGTTTGCCCCAAGGGATTTTCGGTTTGCTTCCATTGCAACCAGACCGGCCATTGGAAGGACGAATGCCCTCAGCTTCAGCAGGGATCTGTTCCTACGACCAGGACTACCGAGGTTCGGCCAGTGAAGGCCGAGGCGCCAAAGGCTTGTGGGAGGGACTTTCAGTTGACAGCAGAGGAGGTCCGCGCGGCACCCGACGTTGTGGCCGGTATGTATTCTTCTCTCTATATATTTGAGTCTGAGATATTATGCTTATATCATGTTATGCGTAAGTACTTTTCTTGTGAATTCCGTACCTGCCCAAGTGCTATTTGACTCGGGAGCGATCTTTTGTGTTGTTAGCCTTTAGTCATCATATCAATATTTGTCGAGAGGCTTTGAGTTGACCTCTGCGAGTTTCTATAGCTAACGAGCGAGTAGTGTATGCCATGGAGGTGATTTGAGGATGTAGACTTGAGATCTTCGGTGTGGGGTTTCCGATCGATCTAGTCCCAATTGCAATGGGGGACGTATGTGTCATAGTGGGCATTGATTGGTTGAGCCAATTTGGAGCTATTATAGACTGCGAGCGTCATCTGGTGACGATTCGAGACCCTTGTGGGGGAGTACTTACAGTGTACGGTGAGGATACTTGTCCTGAGTCAGCATTTTGTTCGGCTGCTAGAGCGAGACATAGTTTACAGCAGGGCTGTAGGGGATTTGTGTCCTATGTGATGGATACGCGAGTGGCCGCTGGGAGGCCAAGTTTGATTGATGAGGTCCTAATTGTGCGGGAGCTCCCTGATGTTTTCCGCGAGGATTTGTCGGGTATGCCTCCTGAGAGGTAGGTGGAGTTTCGTATCGACTTGGTGCCAGGGGCGGCACCTATTGCCAAGGCACCCTATCGCCTTGCGCCGCCCGAGATGCAAGAGTTATCCTCGTAGCTTCAGGAGCTGCTAGGAAAGGGGTTTATCAGACCGAGTAGCTCACCTTGGGGGTGCCGATTCTTTTTGTCAAGAAGAAGGATGGTTCACACCAGATGTGCATCGGTTACCAGGAGTTGAACAAGTTGACGGTCAAGAACCGCTATCCGTTACCGAGGATCGATGATCTGTTCGATCAGTTGCATGGGGTGTCTTGGTTCTCCATGATAGACTTGAGGTCGGGATATCACCAGATGAGGGTTCGGGATGAGGACATCCAGAAGACAGTGTTCAGAACTCGTTATGGGCATTACGAGTTTGTGGTGATGCCATTCGGGCTCACCAATGCTCCAGCAGCGTTCATGGATCTCATGAACCGGGTGTGCAAGCTGATGTTGGATCGTTCGGTGATTGTTTTCATTGATGATATCTTGGTATATTCGAAATCCAGAGAGCAACATGAGGTGCATTTGAGGGAAATCCTCGGAGTTCTGAGATCGGAGAGGCTTTACGCTAAATTCTCCAAGTGTGATTTTTGGTTACGGGAGGTCCAGTTCCTTGGGCATCTCGTTAACCAGCAGGGGATTTTGGTTGATCCGGCCAAGATCGAGGCCGTGATGAGTTGGGAGGTGCTGCGGTCACCTACTGAGATCAGGAGTTTCTTAGGGTTGGCAGGCTATTATCGGAGATTTATCAGGGATTTCTCCAAGATTGTCGTGCCACTCACCAAGTTGACCCAGAAGGGTGTTGCTTTTTCTTGGGGTCCGGAGCAGCAGACCTCGTTCGAGACACTTCGCCAAAGATTATGCGAAGCACCGGTGTTGGCCCTTCCGGAAGGGGTGGAGGATTTCGTGGTATATTGTGATGCATCAATATCGGGGTTGGGAGCGGTACTTATGCAGAGGGGGCATGTGATAGCGTATACATCGAGACAGCTAAAGCCTCATGAGTCGAGGTATCCCACTCATGATCTGGAATTAGGGGCAGTAGTGTTCGCCCTCAAGATTTGGCGTCACTATTTTGTATGGGGTTCGATGTACGATATACACGGACCACAAGTGTTTGAAGTATTTGATGGATCAGACCAACCTGAATATGCGCCAGAGGAGATGGTTGGACGTAGTAAAGGATTACGATTGTGAGATCATGTTCCACTCGGGCAAGGCTAATGTTGTAGCTGATGCCTTGAGCCGTAGGGAGGAGGGATCCCCAATACGAGATGTTTGCATGAGATTGACAGTGATGACTCCGGTGTGGGACACCATTCGTGGGGCCCAGGCAGAGGCCGTAAGACTGGAGAACCGAAAAAGGGAGCGAGTGATCAGAAAAGTATCGGATTTCGTTACCGATAGTCGAGGACTTATGACCTTCCAGGGTCGGGTTTGGGTACCGTTTGTAGGTGGAACGCGTACCATCTTGATGGAGGCGGCGCATAGATCGAAGTTCTTGATCCATCCCAGGGCCACTGAGATGTATTTAGACCTGAAGAAGGAGTATTGGTGGCCCTGTATGAAGAGGGATGTTACATGGTTCGTAGAGAGGTGCTTGACCTATCGCTAGGTTAAGGCCGAGCACCAGCGTCCGCATGGTAAGTTACAGTCGTTAGAGATTTCCGAGTGGAGGTGGGAACAGATTACCATGGATTTTATCACCAAATTGCCAAGGACTGCTAGGGGTGTTGATGCAATTTGGGTAATTGTGGACAGGTTGACGCAGAGCGCTCATTTCCTTGCCATCAGTGAGAGCTCTTCTGCGGAGAGGCTGGCAGAGTTGTACGTGAAGGAGGTGGTATCGCGGCATGGAGTACCGATCTCGATTGTCTCAGATCGAGATGTGCGTTTGACTTCCAGATTTTGGAAGAAATTTCATGAGGAATTGGGTATGAGGCTGCATTTTAGTACCGCATACCACCCGCAGACCGACGGGTAGAGTGAGCGGATGATTCAGATGCTCGAGGACATGCTTCAGGCATGTGTACTGGATTTCGGCGGGAGTTGGGAGACGTATTTGCCCTTGGCTGAGTTTTCCTATAACAACAGCCATCACTCGAGCATTGGTATGCCACCCTTTGAGCTGTTGTATGGAAGGAGGTGTCGAACCCCCATTTACTGGGGCAAGGTAGGGTAACGTGTGATGGGTAGTAAAGAGACAGTGCTTCAGAAGACAGAGCAGATACATCAGGTCATACAGAGGTTATTAACGGCACAGAGTCGCCAGAAGAGTTATGCAGATAGGCGATGATCCGAAATCGAGTTCCAGGTCAGTGACTTCGTGCTCCTGAAGGTATCTCCTTGGAAACGAGTGATCCGATTCAGGAAGAGGGGCAAGTTGGGACCCCAGTATATTGGGCCGTTTAGAGTGATCGTGAGGGTAGGCAGGGTAGCGTATCGCTTGGACCTACCCACGGAGTTGGACCAGATTCATGATACCTTCCACGTGTCGCAGTTGAGGAAGTGTATAGCCGACGAGTCGGCAATGGTACCATTGGAGGATATCCAGGTGGACGCGAGTCTAAATTATGCTGAGAAGCCAATCGCAATCTTGGATCGGAAGATCAAGATTCTGAGAAACAAGGAGATACCTCTGGTGGGTCCGAGATGACTTGGGATTCAGAGTCAGAGATGCGAGGGCAACATCCATATTTGTTCATGGAAGGAGACTTCGAGGGAGGAGTCTGGTTCTAGTGGGGGAGAATTATAACACCCCGAGATTCAGGTACATTTATTTCACCCTTATTCTTTGTCAATTGGTCATGATTGGTCCTTGAGTGGAGGAAGCCTTGCAAGTGAGTACGCTGGGCGTACCAGAGGGGTACGCTGCGCGTACTCATGCACTTATTTTGGACGCGGAGTCACTAGGTACGCTGGGCGTACCCATAGTTACATCGGGTGTACCCAGCCTAGATGCAAAAACCTAATAAGACCTGTGCACCATTTAAAGGATGCTAAGGCTCATTTCTCAGCCTCCATATTAGTGAGTAAAACCCTAAGAGAGAGCCTCCCATCATCCTTAGTGAGTGTGTGTGTTCTTGGCGCTAATAGTGCCTTGGTGTGTTATTGAAGAAGGAAGAAAGGAGCTTGTGGAGACTAAAAGCTTGAAGTGTAAGTTTGGATCTGAGATCTACAGAGAAAGGAGTTGCATTTAGAGGTATAAAGTTCAAAACATTCCTCTTCTTTTTGGTTGTTGTTGCATGTGCGATTTCTAGGGTTAAAAACCCCAAAGCTGGAGACTTTATGAGTGTAAGGTGCTCCATGGTCCGAGATCTG